GCGGTCTCTGCTCACCTGACCCTTTTTCGCTTCTGTGATAGATCTCCCGCACGTGCGGCGCCGCACCTGCTGTCCCCAATCCGCATGTGCGAAAATACTAGAAGCAGCAATTCAGCAGCTGCAACAAGAATCCAAACTTTCCGTTAACCATTCGAAATTACCCCGAGGCCCCTGGGACCTCAACCAAAAGCACAAACATATCCTAATACCTTATTCAAACTTGTTCCAATCATAAAATCATCTCAAACAACATCAAATCACCCAAAACACATCGGATTCAAGCCAAACTTTCTAAAATCTTCCAAATTCCACTTTTGATAAAAAAACCAACCAAACCACGTCCGAATGATCTGAAATTTTGCACGCACATCCCAAATGACACAACAGAGCTACTGCAACTCTCGGAATTTCATTCTGACTCCTATATCAAAATCTCGCCTACCAACCGGAAATCGCCAAAATCTCAACTTCGCCAATTCAAGCCTAAATCTACTCCGAACCTCCAAAACCCATTCCGATCACACTCCTAAGTCTCAAATCACCTCCCGAAGCTAACCGAACTATCGGAACTCACATCCGAGCCCTTTAACACATAAGTCAACATCCGGTTGACTTTTTCCAACTTAAACTCACCCCAAAGAGACTAAGTGTCTCAAACCTTACCAAAATCATTTTGGATTCGATCCGACCAACCCGATACCATAAAACACAGATAACAAAGGCTTAAAGAAGCAGAAATGGGGAAAACGGAGTGGTACCTCATGAGACGACTGGTCGGGTCGTCACAAGTGAGGATGTAGAGAAGACAACATGGGGTGCCTTCGTTAGGGGGTATTCGTCGATCGGTTCGGTACGGTATTTAGTCATTTCGGTTCAGTATTTCCGGTATTCAATTTCTTAAAATGATACACTATACCATACCTAATTACATTCGGTATGGTTCGACATTTCTCCTTCCGGTTTTAGTTTATCCGATTCGGTAATTTCTATTTATTCGGCTTGAATATTAACTAGTGTATAGAACCATAGACTGTAATATTCTTAATTAAAGTACTCAATGAAAATATTCTAAACTCACCTGACTGTTGACAAAATCTTTGTCCAAAACCATCAAATATCAACTAAGAGAAAAAAGGTACATAAAGGAATACATTTAATCATTGGAAATATCATGTCACTTGCTTAGAGTTAATTGTTGAAATTAGAGAATACAATAAGGACTAATCCAACATATGCAATAACAATACAAGAGTAACGGAGTAAGAAACACCCCAAAACCGTTGAAATATTACGTTAAACTGCTTGGCAACCTAGAGAGTAAGAATTAGAATCTGCATCCTACCTTGTTCCTTCATTTTCCTAAAAAAGTACATGGGCTTTACTGCCAACCTCAACATGAATGCCAAAGAAAAATATTGTGTAACTTAGTATGTTAATCAATAATATCTGTAATGTGTAATTTAGTATATATTTCGATACATTATTGGTATTTCTGTATTATTTTTTTAAATACCAAATACCAAATTATTTTAAAATTTTAAATCAAATACCATACCAAATACCAAAATATCGAATACCATATAGCAAAATTTTCGGTTTTAATAGGGTAATTCGATATTTACCATAATATACACAACCCTAGCCTTCGTTCTTTTCCTTTGGCAGAAGAACACGGAGGGGCGAGGTCATGAGGAAGATGACGAAGTGGGAGTGGGATTCTTGTTTTTATTTTTATTTTTTATTTTTTCAAAACTTTTTTTTAAAATTTTTTAAGTTAAATCCTCTTGTCTTTGTCTTGTTCGTCACCCCGGTATGTGAACTATACGTATCTTTTGTGTTGGGTTGTCTATCAATTTTGTGTTTAAATGACACAATTAATGTTCGGTTAAAGTATTCAAATGGGATAGACTTAAAATGGTGTGTTTATATGAAAAGTGTGAACAATATTAAAGGATTGTCGATGTATTTTGCCTTTACTAAACAACTGATAAAAAAGAAACAACCTGCGAAAATTTCTAGTAAGAATTGACTAGTCAATATTTTGTGCTTTCACTTAAACCTGGAGAGAAGGGCATAGGGACTTAGGGAGCAACATGATGGAGACAAGAACATTTGTTAGATGTGAATGTGATAAATATAGAAGGAAACAAGACTACTAGACTGACTCAGGAAGACTCAAGGGAAATACTGAAAGATACCCTTGAGTCAATGAAAATACTCGAGAAGATTCCTCGCCCATATGGCTACAATTTTTGTTATCAAAACCATAATATATTAATATTGGTTTTCAAAATCGATTTGATTTTGTTTTAAAAACGAATATGTTTAACTATCTTGTAAAATAGCAAATTAATTTGGAAGACAATGTGCGTTTTCTTGGCGCACCTTATAGAGGGTTCCGAAAAAACTTATTCAAACATGATGTTTACATCGACATTGCTAAGAGCTCATATGGACATAAAAAAAAATTCACTTTTTTTCGAAATCAGTGTTTAGCCATAATATTTTCAATTTTCACTTGAAAATGAATTTTTGAATTTTTTGAAAATTTGAAAAACTTCAGAAAACTGTTTTATCAAAATTTTCACTCAGATCACTCACAAAACTTCAAAACAACCCAAAATTATATTCATATCCAAACACAACTCTAATTTTCAAATACCATTTTTACTTGAAATATTTTTCACTTTTTTTTTTTTTTTGGAATTTTACAATTCTTATGTCCGAATGCCCACTAAGTTACTAGCTACTACTAAAACACACTGGAGTTTCATTAAAATTACAATGAAGCTGTAAACAACGAAGAAAAATATGCACGAACAGGTCACAAAATGCGGCAAAGAATCTTGCTAATCTAGAAAAAGCCTTGGAAATTTAGGAGCTTGTTTGGTAACTAGAGTTGATGATATTTTAAAAAATTATGTAAAAAAGGAAGGAAAATATTGAAAGACAAAAAAATTTAAAAAAAGGAATATACTTTCATTGGTTTGTTTAGTCCTTTAAGCACTCTTTGTTAACCCTCCGAACACTCTCAGAGAGAGTTGAATTAGTTAAACGCTACTATTGTGCTAGAAATGTAGGGCCTTAATTTACAACAACAACAACAACCCAGTATAATCCCACTTAGTGGGGTCTGAGGAGGGTAGTGTGTACGCAGACCTTACCCCCACTACAAGAAAACGGCCTTTAAGGAAGGGAAATCCGGTCCCTAAAAGTAAAAATCTGGTCCTAAAAAGGTTAATTACGAAGGAAAAAGGCTGGTCATAACCCGTCGTAATAGCCTCCGTCGCTAAATGTCAATAACGACGGGTCTTAACACCTGGTCGTTAAATCACTTTAGCGACGGACAAAAAAACTGGTCGTGAAATACTTTTAAAGACCACATTTCTCGTCCCTAGTAGGCGATGAAAAAAAAATTATTCCCGTCGTGAAATCTCTTTAGCGACCAACTGTATCTGGTCCTAAATTTCCTTTTAGAGACGGACAGAAAACCTGGTCGCGAATAACATTTAGAGACTACATTTGTCGTCCCTAATAGACGATAAAAAATATATATATTCCCTTCGTTGAATCTTTTTAGCGGCCAACGCCAACTGGTCCTAAATTATCTATTAGAGACCGACAAAACATCTGGTCGTTATCATTTTCGCGACCAACCTTTAACTGGTCCTAGATTATTTTTAGGGACGACGTCCCTATTTAAAATAATTTTGTAATTTAGCGAAATATTCATGGTCTATTAATAACCATGAGTAGTCCTAAAAGCTCAATGCAACAAAAAGTAATTTTTATCAATAAATATCAAATTGGTATTGAAAAATCCAGATATAAAAAGATAATATATCAAGTTCATATCCCATGATGATGTTACTTTCTATGTTTCCTCAACACCTCAATAAAAAAAACGTAGCTAACATCCTGAGGTAGACTATAATATCAAGTTTTGCATAACATTTTTAGCAAAATAATAATAGCTTGTGCATCTTCTAAACTTGCATCTTGACTTGTAGCTTCAATCTTCAAAACCTGTAAGTACAAAAGTTTTTAAAATAATAAATAACTATTGATAAAATAACATATATAATTTTATATGAGCAATAGTTAAATCGCTTACCCCAAAAGCAGTCTAAATTTACAAGGTGTTATCCAGCAACATCAACAAGGCTACAACAATATTAAAAAAATTAATTAGAGAAGCTTTGGGATGGATTTAATTTTTCCATCAGTAATAACGCGCACCAAAAGAAATTCTAAATTTAAAAACTAACTTGAAATTAATAAATGAAAAAATGAAAAGAAAAAAATAAAAAAAAAAGAACTTGAAGAAAATGAAGCATAAAGAAGGGCATGCATGGAAGCAGTGTAAGAAAAAAGAGTAAGGAGGTGGGGTATATTGTTACTAACTTGGTCAGCAGACAAAATCAGAGGTCATTCAGTTGAAACGAGCAATGTCGTTGTAAGCGGGACATGTGATTGTTGAGCAGCAAAGTACTCTCTCATTTTCCTCATTTCTTTCATCTCATCTTCTAAGGTAGACAAGCGCTCATTCAAGGATTTATTTTCCTCATTCAAAGATTTATTTTCTTCTCGAGTTGAACGTAGCTCGGACAGTAATTCAGCCTTTGAAGAAGTTCCACCTTTCAAGTCTTTCGCCTTCACTCCACCCCCAAAGCCAAATACATGGCTACTTTCGGGAGGCAATGTGTAGCATGCAGTTGGAACTTCAACTTTCTCCCCTCTTTGAATGGGGTGCAATTCCGGCCTAATATTCATGTCTTGCAAGTCTAATCGAGTTTTAATTGTATCCTTGGTCTTTCCTTTGACATTCATGATTGTTCCCATAATATTATCACATATATTTTTTTCAATATGCATAACATCCAAATTATGTCGCAACAAGAGAGACTTTCAATATGGAAGTTCAAAAAAAATACTTTTCTTGTTCCAATTATCCTTTCGATTTTCATGAGATATCTTCTTCTTTTTCTTTGGATCCTTTGTTAATTGTATCCTTCAAGATCTTGCACTTGATTAAGTATCTCAATACCAGAATGCATTTTTGGTGGGAGCCTTTTCTCTTTTGTACCATCAAATGAATCCTTGTCATTCCTCCATTTGTGGCTAAGAGGAAGGTAGCGTCGATGACCCATAAAGCATTGCTTCTTACTATTAGCCAATCGAATAGAGGAGGTGTCTTTATTGCAATATGTGCATGCCAATTTTTCTTTTGTACTCCATCCAGATAAATTTCCATAGGCTGGAAAGTCATTGATGGTCCATAACAAAGAAGCATGCAGCTTAAAATTCTGTTTAGATGATGCATCAAATGTCTCAATGCCAACTTCCCACAACTCCTTCAATTCCTCTATTAAAGGTTGAAGATATGTATCAATAGCATCGCCTGGACTATTTGGACCTGGAATAAGCATTGACAAAATAAAATTTTCTTATTTCATACACAACCAAGGTGGTAAATTATAAAGAATAAGAACCACACGCCAAATGCTATATGAGGTTTTTGAATTCCGAAATGGCTGAAATCCATCACTAGCAAGTCCAAATCGGACATTACGAGGCTCAACCGCAAATGAAGGATGAAGTTCATCAAATGACTTCCACGCCATTGAATCAGCTGGGTGCCTTATTATTCCATCATCAACTCTTTTATCCGTATGCCATGTCATTAAACTAGATGTCTTTATAGACATAAACAACCTCTGAAGCCTAGGCTTTAATGGAAAATAGCGTAAAGTCTTTGCTTCTATCTTCTTACCTTTTTTATTCCTTGTTTCCCCGCTTTGTCTATCTATTTTCCATCTAGACGCACCACAAACTTTGCAAGAATCAAGTAAGCTATCCTCCTTCCAATATAACATGCAATTATTAGTACAAGCATCAATTTTGTTGTAGGAAAGGCCAAGGTCTTGAATTATCTTCTTTGCCTCATAATATGATTTTGGCAAATTGGCGCCATCAGGTAACAACTCATCTTTTAACATTTTCAATAACATTGTAAATGACTCATTACTCCAACGACCCATGCTTTTGATGTGAAGCAATTTAATCAAAGAGGAAAGCTTTGAAGCTTTTGAATTTTGGTACAGTGGCTGTTCGAAATCCTTTAATAGCCTGTAAAATCTTTTTGCTTCAATATTTGGTTCCTCCTCAATTAAATTATCACAATCAGTGTGCACGGTTCTTCCATCAATATTAGGATACATATCTCTCAACAGTTCTTGTACTTCATCTTCACTTTCACATTCTTCTAGTTCATCACCATCTTCATCTTCCGATTCTGATAGTGGCTCACCTAAATTTTCCCCGTGATGATACCAAAAAGTATAATTTTGAATTATTCTGTATACTTGCAAATGTGTCTCAACTGTCTTATGAGTTCCTAAAGTTGTATTACAACATTTGACACATGGACATCGTATCTCATATTCTTCTCCCGTTTTCTGAAAAGCATAATCCAAACACTTTTGCACTCCGATTAAGTAGGCTTTATCGAGCCGATTATCAACAAGCTGCATCCATTGCTTACTAGGTGCCATAATCTTGGAGAGTAAATAAAAGTTAAATTAAATAAAGATAAAAGATAAGAAAAATATTACGATGCACACTACTTGTTACGATCAAATGCACACAACTGGATTCTCAAGAGTTGGTATGAAATGGAGAAAGAATAGTCTCAAGATGCTAAAGAATGTCCCTAGAGTAGTTATTTTTAATGGCTTGATACTACACTGTTGAATGCCTTTACACAATTATTCACTACACACCAGAGACAAATAGTGGTGATGCCAGATAAATGGTCACTACAAATTACTTCAATTTCACCATAAAGGTAACAATGTTCTTAGAGCTCTCCAACTATTTTTAGAAAGTGTGTTCCAATGTCAGAATTTTATGAAAGTACATCCTCTCTTCTTTCATTTGAGTGGTGTACAAATATAGGACCTAAATCTGATTCATTCCACATCAAATTAGTGTGCTCAGATCAAAATTCATGTCGATGTAATTGAATCTGATATAGTGCTTGTGTCTTTTGGGAAGGCTGAAAATGGAGTAGAACTAAGTTTATTTGGGAAAGCATGAAGCTCTTTTTTCTTGCGCTATTAGTGAAGTGAAGCAACATGATTTATTTTCAATTGATACATCTTGTTTGTGTGTCTCTATAAACATTCTAGGAGATTGAAGAGTGGCAGAGATATTCTTCTATTTGTTTACAATGTCTTCTGTTTCGTCCAAGCTGGTTTACCGATAAATAATGTCTGTTAACCATATCCCGCTTAACAGAGCTTCGCATTTTCAGTTGGTTCCCCGTACTAATGGCAAAAATTCTTCTTTCTGAAATTTGGAAGCACTAAATATGCAGGTATATCCGGAAAGGGGTAGGGATGTTTGTGGATGTTGGGAAAGGTGATACTTCTCCCCCTTTCAACCAAGTTCTAGAGCAACTATTGGCCAAGGGGGAGTACTTGGCATTTGCACCTAATACAACTGAGACAAGGATGATGATCAACATTTTTTCTCTAAAATTTCCCCTACCGAGGGTAAATTCTTTGATTTACCTTTTACTGATGTTTCTTCGCGTTTTGTTTTCTCTAAATGTTGAAATCAGGTCTTATTTTCTCTTCTCATGAAAATTTTCAAAGTATTATGGTGATGGTTGATCACGCCCAACTATGCCTTATAAAAAGGACTCTGCGAACGTTGCAAATATAACCCGAGTATTACGCCCAGGGTCGAATCCCCAGAGAGTTAACCTATCAACCACTATCTTCAGACCCACTAATTCTTCAGAACCAGCTTCCCAAATATTCAAATCTCAATTGAGTGTTCTTTAACAACTAGCTTGCAAGTAACTAAATAGTTGTAAACTAAACTAATAGGGTTGTAAACAACTATGAGGAAAAGCTAAGGCAATGATTTCCCCTATTGATGGAATACAAATTTACCAACACATCTCTATCAATCATGAACGCTAATCTTACCGTAAATCTCTCCCGAGTAATCACAGTAATTTACTATTGCACTCTCCCGAGATACACTAGCTTACTTTATTTAGCACGATTCACTTTAGATTACACCCAAGGCTTCGTTATCCCTAATCCCGCCTTTAAACCCGCAATTATAGATTCCTCTAATAATCTAGGAGTGGTGTTGTTCAACAATACCCTAAATATGCACTCTTTTCCAAGTTATGCTCACTAAATAGGCACAGTTAATTGAGGATCCTGTCAATTAACTACAACAAACACGAAGTTGAACAAATAGAGATTAAACTAGCAATTTGTATTCACATAAACAAGAAGTTCATCACCCAATAGGTTCCATCAAAACCTTAGACAAGGAATTTAGCTACTCATGGCTATGGGAAAATAAACCAAGATTGAATTCATCATAAAAATCAAAAGAAAAGAAGAAAGATGGTTGGAGTATTCTCTCACAATGGTTTTCCTTGCTAAGAAACCTTAAAAATCAATACATGCCTCTCTTGGGCGAAGTCTAATGTTTTAAATAGGGTTTAGGTCTAAAAATCCCGTGTTTTACACTTTGGTCCCTGAAGTTTTCTGCTTTCGCCGCGGTTCTGCCGCGGTCGCGGTCAAACCGCGGCCAAAAGCCTTCTCTGATTCTGAAATCATCCGCAGCTGTCTTCCACCGCGGTTCTACCGCGGTCGCGGTGGAACCGCGGTAGAACCTGTGCTCTGAATCTTCGGCCTATTTTGCGTGGTTTACTTGGGGAATTTCGCAGTTGGCCTCTTTTTCATCAATTTTGACTCCAAAACTGCTCCTTACCCTTCCTTATACATATATCACCTGCAAATCATGAAAAGCACTAATAAGAGCATTTTGTTATCACTTTTAGCATTAAAACTACACAAGAAGGTGATTATTTAAGGCGTGATTATAGTCAAATTCACCTATTATCAACGGTACCCATCAGTGATCACTTGTCAATGAATGCGTTTGTAATGTGGGGAAGCACATAATAACTTCCAACTAGAGTTTATTCTTCTCTTATATTTTGTCTTCAGGTGTAAATGTGTATTCATGAGAAGTCAATGGTTTCAATCCTTTGCTTTCCAGCAGCAAACTAAACGCAAAAGCACCAGTTTTTGTGCCTAAAACTGGACAACAACAATGTGGAACAATTACAGCAGGTGATTCTCTAAGAAAAAATGCAAAACCAAGTAGGCCCAAGCAACAGGGGAATACTACAATCACACAAGCTGTTACCTGTGTGGACGAACAAAATATAGCAACCACATTGAACTCAGCAATGTCATAGCAAATTAGAACACATTCAAACAAACAAAAACGCAACATAAAACATTGAGATATACAACTAGGATTGCAATTGTCCAAGCAAACAGAATACCAAACTAAACGCAAACAAGACTGCTAGTTACAGGGATTAGTTAATCCATGGCGAAGGCAGAAACACACATCAACGAAGTAAAAGAAGGCAATTAAAATCTGCTGCTGAGGATACCGAATCGCAATTTTATATAAACTTCAGAAAATTACATTATCAAACTAGGAATCCCAACCCAATAATCTTTTCACTGATTTTGTAAAAGAAAAAAAATACCAAAATATGAAACCTTACCAAATTTTTGACGTTAGAGAAGAAAATGAAGAGCGAAGAACTCGAATAAGCGAATCAATAAGCGAAAAGAGAAACTCGAAAGAGCGGCATACCACGGATTCTCAACGAGCGAGATGGAAACTTGGAAATATTCACACAACACCAGGGCTGAGCTTCGACTTGTGTTGAAATCAGGTTAAAGACTGAGCTCTGTTAAAGGCGACGGGCAGAGCTTGGCGGAAACTAGGGCAGAGCTTCGACTTGTGTTCCAGAATACAGAGAGTTTCGCGGATTCTCAACGAGCGAGATGGAAACTTGGGCAAATTCACATACCACCAAATTCACAACTTGTGTTTTGAGAAAACACAGTAAAGGCGACGAGCAGAGCTTGGCAGAAACTGAGCGGAGCTTGCGCGCGGAAACTAGCTAGGGCGGCAGTCGCGAAATTGTGTTTTAATTAGAATACAGAGAGTTTAATTTTTTGACTTTAAAATTTTTTATTTCAATATATTAGTTTTGGCGCCTGATTTTTCACAAAAAAATAGTTTTTTAATATTTTGGTATTGGTTTTGGCGGCACACTGAATGTCCCTCAAGTATTATTTGGGACCAGTTACTACTTTCTTTAGGAACCGGATTTATTACCTTCGTAATAAAATATAGTATTAAGGACCAAAATACCAATAAATATATTTTTTGCGACCAGATTATTAACTCGTCCCTAAAAGTTGGTCATAATTAAGGCTTTTTCTTGTAGTGCCCTACCCTGGGGTAGAGAGACTGTTTCCAAATAGACCATCGGCATCCTTCCCTCCAAGAACCTCCCACCTTGCTCTTGGGGAGACTCAAACTCACAACCTCTTGGTTGAAAGTGGAGGTCGCTTACCATCAAGCAACCCCTCTTTGTCTCTTCTTTCAAGTTGGAAATGACATTCGTCTTTATCTACATCTTCTTATTTAAAATAAAACTACAAATTATGACTAGTAAAGCCTAGGCTCTCCTGTGCCAGCTTTTCTATTTATCTTTTTTCTCTAAACACCTTTTCAAAAACGTGGCCCTACTAGAAAATCAAATAGGCAACAATTCACTCTTTTAGAAAAGTTGCTAACGTTACAATGGATATAATGTTAATTAATTCAATTTTAATATAATACTCAATTATTAAATCAATAAGCTGTCGTTTCTGAATACTAACTATTGCTTTTACTTCCGTTAAGAACAACAAAGAGGAATAAAGGTGCTGTTTCAGAACTGATAAGCCAACGATTTAGCTTTCAATTCCCCTCACTTTAGTATAAAGAGAAACTTACCTAATCAAGAATAAGTGTAGTCAGCAGCGATGCTTTATCCAAGCAAATTCTTGATCAGTACTCCCTCCGGTCCAAAATAAGTGATTTTTTGGCCTTTTTCTTGTGGTCAAAAATAAGTGATTTTTCCAGATTTCAAGAATGAATTAATTATATTTTTCCTACATTGTCCTTGGAGTAAATAGTGTTCGAATATGTGTTAGGAGTGTTTATGTGAGATAGTAAAGGTTAATATGATCAATTCCATTGCTAATTAATGCTAAAAGGTGGATTTCTTAATCTGTGTGAAAACATCCAAAAAATCACTTATTTTGGACCGGAGGAAGTAATGTAGAAGGATTATTAGATACATATTTTAGAAATATATTCGGCGGATTAGAATGTAGAAGCTTCAACAATCCTTCTGATACAATTGTATTTTTTTGCTCTCTCTGGTACATACTTTCGAATGTAAAGTGAAAAGAAACTAACTCTATGTGTCAAACTTTAAGGCCTCGTTTGACCATGAGTTTTGCCAAAATAAATTTGGGATTTATTTTCAGAACTTATATTTGGCCATAAATTTTGCCCATATTTTGGCCAAATCCCAAATCCCAAATTTTAAATCCCAAAATCAGCTATTGAGCTGATTTTGTGCCAAAATCCCAAAACTTGGGAATTATATACATGTTTTTCCAAAATAAAGTTGGAAAATATATTTTGAAAACGTATGTCCAAACACATTTTTATCTTCAAACCAAACTTCATCCAAATCAGATTTTTCAAAACAAATTTGAGATCTATGGCCAAACGCTAGCTAAATATTCTATACTGTCATGGTTCTTTGAAATGAGATATGTCTGCAAAGCCAATCTCTTAGCCACCATTAGGATTTCATACTCTCAAGTTTCAAAGAACTCTCATCCCATGTGTATGAGTTGGGTATGACCGATTGTAATTTCCTTGAAAAACAAGTTGCGTGGATTCAAAGGGTGCATATTGAGGTGGTATTTTTCTAATGTCTTTTATACGTGCTTTACTGTTTGTCAAAAATATTATGGAGCAGAAAATTTTAAATTATTGCCTTTGATTTGCTCCTTATTTTGTATTACAAAGGATGATATATTTTTTGTCTTTATCTTTTGTATTTCAAGGATTATGAATGTATATGTCATTTATTTTGAGTGGATTAGGCCAGTGAAATTATTATTTCAGTAACATTTAGTTCATGAATTTCTTTTTTTGATTTTGCTTCAATATTTTTACATGTTGTTAATAGAATTCTAAATTGTTGTTGACCGCAAGATTTGGATTGGTGGCGCATTATCACATGCAACAACACCCTCAATACATGAATTGATGATATTCATGAATGACAGACCAAAAGCAAAACAAAACAGAGAGAGAAAAAAAAACAAATATCTTTCTTGGTTTATGAGATGTGTCACATTATTAATGTAATGACCAGTTTCATATTATATAGATATGGATATACATATATGATTGCATAATTCACTTATAGTTTTTATAATCGCGCGAAGCGCGGATAAATTCACTAGTTATATATGAATCTTGGCTATATTCAGAGGCGGACCTAGGATTCAGTAGTCACAAGGCACCGTGACATTCAATATAAATTTATTATTACTCAAAAAGTTTGATACGGGAGCCTATGCTAATATTTGATTATATTTTGAAGACATTTGCAAGTATCCATGGAGTTTTTGCCAATTTCGGATACCAGTGAGCCTTCAAACCTATAGTGTGCATTCGCCTCTAGTTACTTCCACTGAAATGAATATAAATGATCAAAAATTACACGTCACTTTGAGTTTTGACATAATGACATCACTAACGTGAGGCCTCTCTATGTCATAAAATTTGGAAACAAATCCTAGTAATTCTCCGAAAGTAGGAAGAATTAAATGAATTATACTTATAGCCCGTTTGACCAAGCTTCTGAAATCAGCTTATTTTGAGAAGTGCTTTTCTCAAAAGTACTTTTTTAAAAAGTGCTTTTAGTGAGAAGCAGTTTGTGTTTGGCTAATTAATTTGAAAATCAGTTTTGAGCAGTAATTAATGTTTGACCAAGCTTTTGAAAACTGCTTCTAAGTGTATTTTTCTTCTGTTTCTCCTCAAAATACTTTTTTTCCTTCCAAAAGCTTGGCCAAACACCTCAATTTTTGACCAAAAATAATTTTGACCAAAAAAGCACTTTTGGTCCAAAAAAAAAAAAAAAAAAACTCGGCCAAACTATTAATTGGCCCGTTGAAGACGTCGTTCTGATTTTCCATCTCCTTTCTCACGTCAACATAATATGCAACGACTCTTCTTTCGTGGGTTTTTCATGAAGATAGACTTATTGACTTCTAAATTATTTATATCATCTTCGTAATAAAAACGGATTCACAACTTAAAGTCAATGAATTCTAACAACAACAACCCAGTATAATCCCACTTAGTGGGGTTTGGGGAGGGTAGTGTGTACGCAGACCTTACCCCTACCCTGGGGTAGAGAGGCTGTTTCCAAATAGACTCCCAGCATCCTTCCCTCCGAGAACTTCCCACCTTGCTTTTGGGGAGACTCGAACTCACAACCTCTCTAACAACGGTCTTATACAATAATTATTAGATACATTTAAAATAGTTATATGTATTTAATTCAATATATATATATATATATATATATATATATATATATATATATATATATATATATATNTATATATATACATAAGATGTGGAAAAAAAACTATTAAGTTTAGGTGAACCTTGTAAGCTAGGTCCTCCCAACTTCATAAAGATTAATAATGTTAATCACTTCATTGTCCTCCTCTTCTTCAAAACGTGTTATTTACGACTTGCTAGATAGGGGCGAGTCGCAACTATAAATACCCAGAAAATACAATTTTCTCCAGTACAATTTCCCAAGAATTTCAAAAATTACAACCCCTCTTTACGATTTCGTATTTAATTAAAGCAATTTTCCCTTCTAAGCACAGAGAATGAAGGTATATATGTCTATTTTTCTTTTAATCATTCGAATTAGTAAGAGTTAACTGAACAAAAGTACATGGCAGAGTGGCAATACTTCTTTCATTGTGCTCATTGTTTAGCTAACTTTGAATTATTTCATATACTAATGTATATATGCTCTTAAAAATTGGACAGCAAAAGGTTGTTATTAGGTTATCCATGAATGGAAATGATCAGAAATCACGGTCCAAGGCCTTCAAAATTGCCGTTTCTCAGCCAGGTACAAGTCCCATTTCAACTTTCCGGACGTTTAATGTTCTTCTGAAATGTATATCTAACTTTATATATATTGCCTCCGACCCACTTTAATTAATTTCTTGACTTTTTTTTGTTGTTGTCAACAATATTTGATTTTCTCAGAAATCAAGAAGGAATTAACTTCTTTATTCCAAAGTTGTCATTAGAATAAAGAGTCTAGGAGTATATGTTAAGGTTAATATGATCATTTTTATTGTTAATTAATGCTAAAAGATAAATTTCTTAATACGTGTGAAAACAACAAAAAATCAATTAAATTGCACCGGAGGGCGTACCATTATTTATTTATATAATATTTGACCATAAAACGCTAGGTTTCTCGAATCCATGAACTCGTTATTGGATCCGTCAATGATATTTTGAACTCATATATTGATTTTTGGGATCTTTACATAAATAGCAGGCCGAATTCCCTATTTAATTACTGTACATAGCTTATAAAATGATTATACATATTTTTAGCGTAAGTCGTTGGGTGGACTGCTATCTAGATCAATTCTTTTCTATTTATATTTTACTAATTTGATTTTTCTATGTCCTGTAGGTGTAGAATCAGCAGCTATACAGGGGGGAGAAAAGAATGAGTTAGAAGTGGAGGGAGAGCAGATTGATGCAGTGACACTAACCAAATTGCTTAGAAAGAAATTGAAGCAAGCAGAGCTGTTGAGTGTTGGCCCTGTTGACAAGAAAGATGGTGACAAAAAAGAGGGTCCAAAAATGGAAGTTGCCATGATGTACTGGCCATCCTATAATTACCCTTATTACGTTGTACCTCAATTTCCACTTTATGAAATTAGAGATTCATATCAATCAGGCTGCTCCATAATATAAATCAGAATTTTATGTAAGCAGTGTCGGTTTGTTGTTGCAAATCAATTATTACTATATAGATTTGGAGTTGAGGCTATGAGGTTGTAAACAACCTTTACTTTTTTTTTTTAATCCTAAATCAATGTGTAGTTTACATTTTTTTAAGCAGTGTCAGTCTAATGTGGTTGTACATGTTCTTAGAAAAATAATAGATATAATAGGAGAAGGGAGATACTTAATTCGAACTTGTGAAACTGCAGTTAAAATTGTATCCTCTCAAGGCTGCCTCTATAGGACATAATTTGTTTCTAATAAACAGTAAGGGCCGTTTTGCCATAATTCTTTTTTTTAGTTTTTTTTCGGAATCAAATGAAATTTTTTATGAATTTTATTTTATGGACAACCCAAAACAACTTGCAATTGTGTTGATATTGATCTGGTAACATAGAAAATCAATTAAATTTCAAAATGTACTGATAGTGTAGAAAGTATTTTGTAAGGTCAATATAGATAAGTTAAATCCTTATAATAATTACAATAAATAGCAAAGCCATTATTTAATGCAAAAGAAAAAGAATAGTAGAACAAACCTATTTTTTGGTGTAGTAATGAAAGGAGATTGTGAGCATGAAAGGAGAAGTGCAAGCTTCTCCCCATCATTACCAAGTCCAATTTGGTTTGATGGGTCTGCCTGTCTCCTTGGGGCCAACTAGGAATAGTGTCAAACTTTTTGACAATGCTGTTCTTAGTTGGCATCCAGGGAGCCAGGCAGAACTACGTCATTTCTTGGATTGGATATCACTCAGCTGCTCATCACCAATATTACTCTATTTATTCTGCAAAGTCACACCAAAAGGATGTAATTATAGCAAGTATGGACCAAATAGTCACGAAAAAAAAGGGACACTTGGCTTTACCTTATTTGGTAGCTCTTCCTCTGCGCACTTTACTTCACTCGTTATCACTAGGCTTTAATATCTTGATAAGTGAGCGAGAGAAAGAATACACTAAGAAGTAATTCAGTGAATGATTTCTAAGAAGGAATTGGCAAAATATTTAAAGGTCTAAAGAGAAGGCAAGACAACACAAAATCCAATCATAAGGGTCGAACACAAGCCCCTTTAGACAGCAGACGGCAAATATAATCAATAGTATAATTTAATGGATATATGGTGATGAAACCAAACAAGTTTTGTGGGGCTTCTAAGAGATTTGGCCTTTTGCTTTTGGTTTGGAAGATTATCTCACTACTCCCATCATCATTAACTTGATAAAATTATATCATTTCAATTTAAAAATATAATAGACGAATTAACCTAAATAATTGTCTATCTAACCACTTAAACAAAAAATAGATTCAGTGTATCATATGTTATAACCGTATATAATTAATGTATAATCTATACATACCTGATTGAAAAAGTAAACAGTGAACTCATAAATATATTGTGCGACTAATTTATCCTTTGGTGCCGTTGCTTATTGGATGGGCTGAGTTTATTGAACGAGGAGTTGAGCATGACTTTGACAAGGCCGAAGCCACTGTATGGAACAAATCCAGCCTTCATTAGGGCGTTTGACGGATATTTTCATGTGCATTAATCATTAATTAACACTTACATTGTGATCATTTGGAAAATAACTAGTACTCTCTCTATCCTATTTTATGTAATGCATTTTGACAGAGCATGAAATTTTTTTTTAAAAAAATACTTGAAATTTATTGTTTAAAATAAGTTATAAAGTTTGCGGTACAAAAAATATTCTCATTAAGGTTAAATAGAAAGTTTAAAGCTAATTATTTGTAAATATAAAAATATACCATTCTTCTCCGGGACAGACTAAAAAGGAAAATGCAACATATAAATATTGAGAGAGAAATTTGTAAAGTAAGGCTGTTAGCTTGCTAAAATAGGTTAAAAAGTAATGTGTAAATAATATATTTTACGTTGTTAATGTATATAAATGCACCTATTTTGTGGATTTCTTTTAGTCATCCTTGCAATTAGTGGCGGAGTTCAATTATATTGAATTACATACATTAAAAAATTATACTGTACAAATAAAATCGAAACAAATTGTTCCGTACATAACAATTTGTCACGATCCGGATTTTCCACCCTCGGGAGTCGTGATGGCGCCTACTAATGTGAGCTAGGCAAGCCAATTATTTGAACAATTTACCTTTTTACCCATTTTATATTCTTTAACAATTTCGAAGAAATATCATTTAAACAGTGGAATTTAACATAAGCGGAAGAAAAACAATAGGCTATCTGAACATGAATATCTAATACAACTGTTTGAGTCTCGATTACCCAGAACTGGTGTCACAGTTTCACAGACGGTCTAAGAATACTACAAATAAAGGTCTGAAAGAAATAAATACAACACTGTCTCTGGAAATGCATGAAAGAAACAGGAATAGTAGATAGAAGGAGACGCCAAGGCTTGCGGACGCCTGCAGGACTACCTCGGGTCGCCTGATGAACGAGAATCAGCAATCTCACTGCGGTCTGAAGTCTACAACACCGGGGTCTGCACAAAAGAGTGCAGAGTGTAGTATCAGCACAACCGGCCCCATGTGCTGGTAAGTGCCTAGCCGAACCTCGGCGAAGTAGTGACGAGGCTAGTACCAGACTACCAAATAAGCCTGTGCAATTTAACTATATACAGAGGAAAAGAAGAACAATAATATACGGTCAAGTATGGGAGGGGGAAACATGCTGCGGGGAAACATCGAATAGTAACAGAAGAGCAACAAATAAATATGAGGATCACCACAGTTCAATTGAAAATAGGAAGGGGAAATCATGCTGCAGGGTACAACAAGTATCAACAGAAAACCAACAATTAAATGTAGAGAAACCGTAACTCAGTTATCAATAAAAATTAGGAAATCAAAGACAAGTGAACGGCATCATCCTTCGTGCTTTAACACTCTCTCACCAAAACAGTACACGGCATCACCCTTCGTGCTTTACGCTCTTCCTCACCCAAGCAGCAATCACAAGGCAAATAGGGTAAGGGAATCTATAACATCGAAATAAAATCAAGTAACAACAGAAAATCAGTAAATATACGTAAAGGACAACATAACTCAATTATCGACAAAAATCAGAAAAATCAAGGACAAGTGCACGGCATCACCCTTCGTGCTTTTACTCTCGTCCTCACCATAAGAATCAATATAAATTGCACGGCATCACCCTTCGTGCTTTTACTCTCATCCTCACCATGAAACCAATATAATAGGCACGGAATGGTACATCGTGCGGCACGGTATCACCCTTCGTGCTTTACACTCTTTCCTCACAATCATACACGGCATCACCCTTCGTGCTTTACACTCTTTCCTCACAAAAATAATGCACGGCATCACCCTTCCTGCTTTAACTCTCTTCCTCACCCAAACAACAATCACAAACAATAGGGCAAGGGAATAAATGAAATTACAATAAGAATCCCGGCAAGGGAGATAACAAATAAAGCAACAATAGCCCGGCAAAAGGGGCAACATAATGATCTCTTCTCTTTCTCACTTTTAATTCACAATCCTCTTCACAACTCGAGCCAATGCTCTAACGGTTTAATTATCACTTATACTTTCACAATTCATTTCACATCTCGAGACAATGCTCTAGAGGTTCAATTATCACTTATACTTTCACAATTCGTTATACAACTTGAGCCAACACTCCTCAATGTTCATAGGTCATAATTCTTTCCACAAACTTTACACAACAAATAGAAATCTTCACCAAGGCATGAATAATACAACGAAGTCATGAAAATCATAATATAAGACTCACGAGCATGCTAGACACCAACGTATAGATAATCGTCACCATGCCTATACGCCGTACTCCACAATTACCACATAGAAAATAGGACTCGACTCCTAATCCCTCAAGCTAAGGTTAGGCCAAACACTTATCTCGATGCCACGAACACAATTCACGTTTCAATTATCGCTTTACCCCTTGATTCCACCACCAATTCGCTCGTATCTAGTCACAAGTTACTTAATTACATCAATAAACGCTAGATGAATCAATTCCAATGCATGAAAATGAATTTTCCAAAGTTTTACCCAAAAAGTCAAAAATTGCCCCCGGGCCCACATGGTCAAAACTCAAGGTTCGAACCAAAACCCGATTACCCATTCCCCCACGAACTCAAATATATAATTTGTTTCGAAATCGGACCTCAAATCGAGGTCCAAATTCCCATTTTTTGAAAAATATAGGTTCTACCCAAAACACCCAATTTGCCCCATGAAAATCATTGATTTGAAGTTGAAATCATGTTAAAAGATGTTAAGGATTGAAGAAAATTAGTTAAAACGACTTACAATTGATTTGGAGGAGAAGAAAACTTTGAAAAATCGCCTAAGTGTGTTTATGTTTTGAGAGGATATGAAAATGGGTTAAAAATTTGGCTAAGTATAAAAGTTGCAGGTCTCAGATGTGGAAATTGCGAACAGGGTTTGATCACGCCCAACTCTAGTCCTAAAAAGGATAAGTGGTCGCTGCAAATAGAATCCGATCTAAAAGTCCGCAGTCGAATCCCACAGAGAACTAAGGCTTAGCTGTATCTTTTAATATCACCAAGAAGACAAGATTGAAAATAAATAAACAGCTGAAAACTAACTATGCTTGAATTGTAAACAATTAGAATAAAGGTCTAAGGTAATGGTTTCCCCCGTTGTTGATTTCCTTGGTTGTATGTTTCTTATAGCGTTGACTTAGTTGCTTCTATCAATCATGAACTCTCCAGCTATCATGAATCTCTCTCGAGCAATTATGATAATTTACTAGACGCACTCTCTCAAGCTACGCTAGCTAGATTCGCATTACAGTTCACTTAGATTGCACCCGAGGTATCGTTATCTCTAATCCAACCTCTAAACCCTCGGTTATGACTCTCGCCTATACTCCGGGAGTGATGTTGTTCAAACAACTACCTAAATATGCACTCTCTTTCAAGCAGATACATAATAAATAGGAACAGCTAATTGAGGATCCTTTCAATTAACCACAATCAAAACATAGTTGAAGGAATAGAGATAAACAACCAATTCAATACTATATTAATATAACAACCAAATCATCCCCAACGGGTTTCACCAAAACCCTAGATTAAGGTTTTTAGCTACTCAGGACAA